GCAGGAAAATCAATTAAACCTGGGAGACAGAGTTTGCGGTGAGCTAAGATTGCTCCATTGCACTCCAGCCTGGGCAATAAGAGTGAAACTCTGTCTTAAATTAAAAGAAAAAAAATTAATTTCAAGTGAAATACTTTAAGATTTAAAATGACAGCACGTTTCAGTATCACATTAAGGCAACTCAAGCTAAAAATAGTGCCACAAAATTTATCAAAACCTTAATCTTAATGAGTGTTAGTAACTGGGTATACAAGGTTTCACTCTGCATTTACTTTTATTTTAAAAAAGTATTTTCCTTTTTGGAGTGCAGTGGCACAATCTCGGCTCACTGCAGCCTCCGCTTCCCGGTTCAAGCGATTCTCCTGCCTCAGCCTCCTGAGTAGCTGGGATTACAGGTGCCCACCACCACGTCTGGCTAATTTTTTTGTATTTTTAGTAGAGAAGGGGTTTCACCATGTTGGCCAGGCTGGTCTGGAACTCCTGACAGCAAGTGATCTGCCCACCTAGGCCTCCCAAAGTGCTAGGAATACATAATGTAACTCAGGAGGCAAAGGCTGTAGTGAGCCAAGATCAGGCCACTGCACTCCAGCCTGAGCAACAAAGTGAGACTCCGTTTCAAAAAAAAAGAAATAAATAGTACTGCTTTTCAATACAGAAAACTTGGGAAATATAGAAACTCACAAAGAAGGCAGGGCATGGTAGCTCATGCCTCTAATCCCAGGACTTTAGGAGGCCCAGGCAGGAGGATTGCTGGAGCCCAGGAGTCCAAGATCACCCTGGTTAACACAGGGAGACCTCAATCCCTATTTAAACACACACACACACACACACACACACACAGAGAGAGAGAGAGAGAGAAATAAACATTCATAATGCCACTACCCTAAGAGAACCACTGTTGGCATTTTGGTAAAGTCTTTGTAATACATTTTCATGCAATATACATATATGTATCCTGTACAAAATTGGTTGCACATATAAGCTGCTTTTTACAGTTATAGACATCTTCTCTTATCAGTAGATAGTATTCTATAATTTCGTTGCTAATTGTTGTAGAATATTCCATGGTATATTATTTAAAAAATGAAAATATCTTTTTTTTTTTTTGAGACAGTGTATTGCTCTGTTGCCCTGTCTGGAATGCAGTGGTGCAAACACAGCTCACTGTAGCCTCGACCTCCAGGCTCAAGCAATCCTCCTGCCTCAGCCTCCTGAGTAGCCTGGACTACAGGTGCACACCACCACACCCTGCTAAGTTTTGTCTTTTTTGTAGAGACGAGCTCTCATTATGTTGCCCAGCCTAGCTTTAAACTCCTGGCCTCAGGTGATCCCCTTGCCTCGGCCTTCCAAAGTGCTAGAATTAAAGGTGTGAGCCACTGTGCCCAGCCAAAAAGATCTTTTTTTTTGATGATCAGGTAAGATGCTCATTGCGAAAAATTCAGATGGGGCAAAAAATATAGACATTATATAGTTTATGTAAATCATTAAGCCATCTTCTGGAAATATCCTTTATTAATATATGGAAATATTAACTTTCAGACTTTATATACGTATATACACACAACATATATATTTTAATATGATTATGTATGGTGTTTTGTGACATTCTTCTTTAAAGTGAACATCTTTTAATGATGATGAAAAGAGATCTACATCAAAATTTTAAAGTTTGTGTAATGTCCCATTTTGAATATTACATGGAGGCTGCAAACAGTCATTGATGTGGCTTTGGAAATGGAAAGTAAGAGGGCTCAAATCATAGTTCTGACACTTAGAGCTTGTCTGATCTTACACATGTTACTGGTTGCTATAGAGCTCAGTTGCTTAACTGAAATCACGAAGTCTACCTAGAAGAAGTAGTGAAGTGTTGGCTGGGTTCCATATTCAAATGTTGTCTCTACACAAGGCCTGAAGAGGGACAATATTTATTCTTCTTTTTTTTTTTTTTTTTTGAGACGGAGTCTCGCTCTGTCACCCAGGCTGGAGTGCAGTGGCCGGATCTCAGCTCACTGCAAGCTCCGCCTCCCAGGTTTACGCCATTCTCCTGCCTCAGCCTCCCCAGTAGCTGGGACTGCAGGCGCCCGCCACCTCGCCCGGCTAGTTTTTTGTATTTTTTAGTAGAGACGGGGTTTCACGGGGTTAGCCAGGATGGTCTCGATCTCCTGACCTCGTGATCCGCCCGTCTCGGCCTCCCAAAGTGCTGGGATTACAGGCTTGAGCCACCGCGCCCGGCGACAATATTTATTCTTTAGAGTTCAGGCAGTATGAGATGCTTTGGCTTATGCCCAAGTGGAACTTTTGCATCCATACTCAAAATCACATTGAGAACAAACCAAAAATATACTAAAAGCCAAAACAGAGAGAGAGAGAAGAGAGAAGAGAAAAGAGGAGGGGAGGGGAGGGGAGGGGAGGGGAGGGGAACCCATAAAGAAAAGCAAACTCAGACCCTCATACACTGCTGGTGGGAATGCAAATAATGCAGCCACTTTGGAAAAATCTGGCAATTCCTCAAAAGGTTTAAACATGGAGTTATCACGAGTCAGCAATTCCATTTCTAGCTATATACCCAAGAGAAACAAAACATACATCTGTCTATACCAAAACATATACAGAAATTTTCATAGCAGCATTATTGCTAACAGCTAAAAAGTAGAAACAATGCAAATGTCTATCAATTGATTAATTAATAAATAAAATGATGTGGCATATCCATACAACAGTATATTTGACAAAAAAGAATGAGTCGTAATACATTCTACAACATGGATGAAACTATAAAACATTATACTAAATGAAAGAAGCCAATTACATAGGCCAGGTGCAGTGGCTTACGTTTGTAATCCTAGCACTCTGGGAGGCTGACGTGGAGGCAGTGGATGGCTTGAGCTTCGGAGTTGGAGACTAGCCTGGGCAACATGGTAAAACCACGTCTCTATAAAAAATACAAAGATTAGGTCATGTCTGTACTCCCACCTACTTGGGGGCTGAGGTGGGAGGATCGCTTCAGTTCAGGAGGTGGAGGTTGTGGTGAGCGGAGATCAAGCCACTGCACTCCAGCTTGGGCAACAGAGCAAGACTCTGTCTCCAAAAAAAAAAAAAAAAAAAAGCCAGTCATAAAACACCACATATTCTGCAATTTCATTTATATTAAATATCTAGACTAGGCAAATCTATACAGGTAGAAAACAGGTTAGTGATTTCCTAGGGCCTGGGGAGTTGGGGTTACATCTAGAGCGATTGCTAACAGGTATGGGGTTATTTTTGCATTGATGAAAATGTTCTAAAATTGACTGTGGTGATGGTTGCACAAATCTGTGAATATACTAAAAACGACTGAATTGTACACTATAAATGGGAGAATTATATCTAAAGAAAATGTTTTAAAAAAGTAAATAGGACATTATAATTCTGAAGGATCATAATGAGACACGATATAAAGTGTTAGCATAAGACGCCCTTAATAAATGGTGGCTATTATTCATTGATGGGCATTTAGTTTGTTTACATTTTTCTCATTGTGATCAACATTTTAAAAAGAACATCCCAGCCCACTGTGGGATGGCCAAGAGTTCAGGGTTACAGTGAGCTATGATTGTGTCACTGCACTTCGGCCTTGGTGATAGAGATCTCATCTTAAAAAAAAAGGAAAAAAAAAAAAAAAAGGCTGGGAGTGAATAAATAGGTTGGGCACGGCAGCTCATGCCTGTAATCCAGAGGCGGGTATATCACGAGGTCAGGAGTTTGAGACCAGCCTGGCCAGCATGGTGAAATCCTGTTTTTACTAAAAACACACAAAAATTAGCTGGGCGTGGTGGTGTGCGCCTGTAATTCCAACTATTTAGGAGGTTGAGGCAGGAGAATCACTTGAACCCAGGAGGCAGAGGTTGCAATGAGCCGAGATCACACCACTGCACTCCAGCCTGGGCGATAGAGCGAGACTCTGTCTAAAAAAAACATAATAAATCAAATCAAATCAAATCAATAAATAGTGTAGTCCCAGACACTTGGGAGGCCGACGTGGGAGAATCACCTGAGCCTGGGAAGTCCAGGCTGCAACGTTTATCACGCCACTGCATTGCATCTTGGTAACAGAGCGAGAACCTATCTCTAAATAAATAAATAAAGAGAATATCCTGCACATGACAACAGCGAGCACTTTCACAGCCCTCATTTTCCCCCAGAATCTTCAGAGATGCAGACGTGCTCATAAAATTTATGTACATTTTTTTTTTAGAATCTGAAAAACTGGGTCAGTGGGCATTTCATGGGAAGTACAGAATGTTAGCAAAGTATCCTTTCCTAACTTTTTTTGCGAAAATGGTAATAATGTAAGTATAACGGGAAGCACTTATAGTATTATTTCCAAAGCCCTTGCTTAGGGAAGAAGCTTCAGTATTAAGTTGTTAAAATCCATCATACCCAAAGTATTTGTTATGCTTACAAAACTGGAGATGGTTCTGCTTTGATCCAATTTGTGGAACTTTGCATACATTTAGCAGAGGAAAACGTGGTCTCCTGCTCTATTGTCTGACTACTTTTAACAAGGCGAATTCACCTAAACTCTATTCTAGGGTGGGAACACAGTTGACTTGCACTGAAAATACTCAGTTTGACTTTTAAATAGCTAAAGTGGTAACAGGTGGGGAGAGGGCTAGACCAAATTGTTTGAGTGGATGTGGAACTGTGGAATTTGAGTCAAGAGAAGGCCCAACTTTTTTTAAAGAAAGAGCGGGGCTAAATAACTTGGGGCACAATAGTATGGCTATTTTGTAGGCGTCGCTCTTCCCCAGGGCAACTGGAGCCCAAAAAGTGTATGATAAAGCCATTCCAGGGCAGCCAACACTTCCAGAAATTTAAGGTCAGGATGCCGGAGGGCTGGGGAATGCCGATGTGCCGGACAGGCTGTGCCTGGGCAGTGGCAGCTGGAGGCACTACTCGGCTGCCGCGGTGCGAACAGCGGGCACTGTGGGGCGGGGACTTAGGGGCGGGTCAACAAAGGTCGGGCGATTGTGTCGGGAAGCAAATCCGACGTAGACGCCGGCGGGCGGAGCTCAAGGCCAGTGATGCAGGGTGCGCAGCGATCCCACCTGGAGAGTCGGGGCGGCACGTTGAGACCCCAGGGGTGAGGGGCGGGGGATCCAAATCCCCGCCCTGTTTTCCCCTCCCCTTTCCCCGCCTCCTTCTCGCCCCTCCCCCCTCCTCCCCTCTGGTTGGAAAGTTTCTAGAATCTCTTCCCAGCGGCCTTTGCGGTTCCAACATGGCGGAGCTGACGGTGGAGGTTCGCGGCTCCAACGGGGCTTTCTACAAGGTACTGACGGTTTTGCCACTTTGTCTAGTATTCTGGGGGCTGGAGCGCGTTTGAGGGAGGGTTGGTGGTCCCAGAAAGTGAGGTTTGGGTTGGAAAGGAGGCCAGGCCAAAGCTCGAGGCCGCTGGATTCCTTGCTTCTCCCCCCTCCACCCGCGGTTTAACGGTCTCGGGGGCCGGGGCTCCGTTATGTTTTGAAACAACACGTCGGACGCCTCTTGCATTTTCCTAGTTATGAACCTTCTTGGTTGCTAGTACGGTTCTTGGCGGGCCGGTGGGAAGCAGCTCAGTGGCTGCTGGGCGGCGTGAGCTCCCTCGGAGCAGGCCGGAGCTCTGGGAGGTGGGGGAGTCGTGAAAGGAGGCGGTGGGATTGTGTGGTCACACCCGCTCCCCCGCCCCTCGAACTGGGCCGGGCGGGAGCTCCTCAACCCGCTCCTCCGACCCCTCCCCACCCCCTGGGGCGGGTGTATCGCGGAATCTTTGGAATTCACCCGTGTATTTGAGTTTTGGGCCAACAAATCTTTAGTGCCTGAGGAGAATGAGGGTACCGGATTGAGGGTTAGGATCGAAGACAGAAAAGCAGAAAACCTTGAATTGTGGCGGGTTGGAATATTTTTGCGGCCTGGGAAATTGGGCGGCGCCTTAGCCCCTCTATTACGGAAGAAAAGGAGAGTTGTGTGCTTTAAAGTAAGATTTAAAATGCGAAATGGATCAGGGAGATAGGTGGAGAGGTGACTAATTTCTTTATATCACTGCCCCTGTTTTTGGAGGGAGGTATTGTTTTGTTTTGTTTTTCCCCCACGAGGTTTTTTTGTTTGTTTGCTTGGGGAGGAAGGGCATGCATTACTATGGAATCGGGGCTGAAAAACGTAAGAGGAATAGAGTAGAGGAATTTGGTGGGGCGTTCAGCGTTCACGTATCTGAAAATGAAATCCTAATAGTTTATTTTTTGCTGCTATAGCATTCTTTTCTCCTTATTTTCCCGAAATATGCCAGGCCGTTACAAGATCAATACAGAACCTCCCCAGCTGTTGTCTGTCAGTCAATCTCACTAAGCCAGCATCTCAAATGTTTGAGAGTCTTGGCTATTTTTATGAAGGGCCGCCTTCTAATACATGAGTATTGTGCGTATGCAAAATGAATTCTCACAGGTTTTCATTTCAGGGTACCTTTTATCCCTTGGGTTTTTATTTTATTTGGCCATGATTTTCTATTTTCAGGGTTTTGTTTTTCCTTTCTTAGTTTACTGATTAGCTCTGTGGATTTGGTTTAACTATCACGTGGTACTAGCATAATGGGGAATCACAGCCTATAAAGGATCCCCCTAAGCTTTTTGCAAGTTTAAATCTCCTTAGGTGGTAAACTTAAAGTAGGAACAGTACCTGTTGGAAATGAGACGTTATGTTAATGCGTGAGTAGTTACATTAACGTTCTTGGTTTAAGACTTGATGTCAGACCAATGACCTAGGTGAAATTTGAGTACATATTTAATTGACTTTTGTTGTTACTGAAACCTGGTGGTTGCTTTCCCTGGACGACTGAAGATACAGTTCTCTGGGTAAGACGGCGCAAAGACAAGACTTATCCATGTTTTTCCTGTCAAGTGTAGATAAGTCGTTTTGCATCACCCCCCACCCCTTTCCCTAAAAGTTTTAGATTCTCACTATTTGGCTATATAGTTCTGGTGTAAGGGAGGTATGCATGTTTTCTTGCACATTGGAAAAAATAAAGTGATTATTTTGCTTTAATTCATGGTTCTGCATCATGCATGTGGTAGACAACTATCTTTAGCAAAGTATATTTGTCAATAGCGTGCTATACAAGATTTTTTTCCTTTTTTTAATAAGGTGAAGATAATTTGTTTTAGTAAAGATTGTTTGCAGTCTTTGGTTTCTCACGGTATTTTTTTTTTCCAGTCAATTCACAATGAATCAAATGTCCCCATTTTGGAACTCTGAAGTATTTATTATTGATCTCTATACATACTCTACAGTCTACTGCTTGTTTCTACTTAGACTTTGACTCCATTACTCATTTTGCTTCACAAAGTGAGTTGGTACTTTGGCAAAGGTTGGAAAGGACACTAGCCACATGTGTGTGCACTGAAACCATGTACGCTTGAACGTTTGGAATTTTATGTCCAGCCATAATCCACTTGCACATGCACTTTGTGGAAACTCTGGTCTTCAGAACTCTGGAAGAAAGAGAATGGAGAAGTGGAAAAGAGTCCTGGATTTGAAGTAAACAGATGAGAATTCTAGGTCTGTACTTCACCTTACCATAATCTAACAATGGACCCCTGAACAAATCTCTCTGTCTAACATGAGGGGCATGAAGTAGTTCGGTGATCCCCAGTATTTTTTCATCCTATTAAACTGCTGACTTGAAAAACATTGGTTTATTGCACAGAAATTTATTGCTTTTTAATCATTAGAATGTAAAAGTTGAGGTTAATTTACATACAGTAAAATAAACCTTTTTTGGTGTATGGTTATGAATCTTGATAAATGCTGACAGTTATCAAGATTAACTGTCACCTTAACTGTGGGTGGTGTCAGCATTTATCAAGATTCATAGCCCCCAAATTTCCATCATGCCCTTTTCAGTCAACCATTCCTCAACCCCAGCTTCTAGAATGTTTTCTGTCCCCATAGTTTTTCTTATTCAGAACACTACGTATGTAGAATTATACAATACATTGTGTAGTGTTTTGAGTCCGGCTTCCATTTAGCATAGAAGCAATTTAATTTTAATTAGTTTTTTTCCAATTTAGAAGATAATGCATGGTCACTGAGGGAATTTTGGAACTCAGCAAAAACTAGAAGTTGCTTTGAGATGAGAGCTGTTAACATTTTGTGTATTTGTTTTTTTACGGTGTTTTTCAACGTACAGGTGATTTGAATTTCCCTCTTTTCCCCTTCTCTTAACCCCATATAGGCAGAAGACACACATTTGGCTATAAGCATGAATTGCCATTGATTAGTTTCAAAGTCAGTTATACCTTGAGGCAGTGCTCTGTAGACTTTGATTAAAGTTTTTCTAATAGAACTGAAACTTCATTTCACAAATTAATTGGAACCAATGAAACGCTGAAGATCTGAATATTTTACCTAAAATTAGGGTAGCCTTTAAAAAATAGTATGTACACAAATGATGGCATGCTAAATACATTGTTCTGCATTTAACAGTGGCTCTATAGTTAAAGAGATTAAAAACTTGATTTGTGCATGTTCGCAGCCCTAAAAATCTGTGGGGATGAGAGGGAATGGGAAGATGTTAATTAAGCATTTGATGGTGGGCTGTGCTGTTATATAAAATAACATTATAGCTTTTGTACTTCTCATACCTAGAGTAGCATCTTAGGTTTTATACTACCAGGCATTTAAGGTGTCTTGAAAAATAAAGTTTTATTGAGGTAGAATGTATATTCTATAAAACTAACCTTTTTTTAAGTGTACAATTGAATGACAGTGTATTTACAGAGTTGTGTAACCACCACCACAGTCTTCCTTCAGAACATTCCATTACCCCAAAGAAACTTCCGACTCATTTGCATCATTAAAGTGCTTCTTAACTGTTGTATAAATATATATTAATCTTTGTAATAGCATTGCAATTTGTATGGCCTTGGGCTGAGTATAATTTTATTTTTATTTTTTGAGACAGAATCTTGCTCTTTTGCCCAGGTGGGAGTGGAGTGGTACGATCTCGGCTCACTGCAACCTCCACCTCCCAGGTTCAAGTGATTCTCCTGCCTCAGCCTCCCGAGTAGCTGAGACTACCGGCATGCGCTACCACGGATGGCTAATTTTTGTAATTTTAGTAGAGACGGGGTTTTTCTATGTTGGCCAGGCTGGCCTCAAACTCCTGACCTCAAGTGATCCGCCCTCCTTGGCCTCCCGAAGTGCTGGGATTACAGGTGTGAGCCACCACGCTCGACCCTGAGTATAATTTTAAATAGAAGTTGAAGTAAGTCACTCAGTTTCTGGCTCATAGGAAAATTTCCATGGTGTTCCAAGGGAACCTGTAATTTCTTAAGATTTCAATCACTTTCTACAGAAGGTAGAGTTCTTTTTTTTTCTTTTTTCTTGAGACAGAGTCTTGCTCTGTCACCAGGTTGGAGTGCAGTGGCGCAATCTAGGCTTGCTGCAACCTCTGACTCACTGGTTCAAGTGATTCTCCTGCCTCAGCCTCCTAAGTAGCTGGTATTACAGGCATGCGCCACCACGCCCAGCTAATTTTTTGTATTTTTAGTAGAGACAGGGTTTCACCATGTTGGCCAGGATGGTCTCGATCTCCTGACCTCATGATCCGTCCACCTTGGCCTCCCAAGGTGCTGGGAATACAGGCGTGAGCCACCGCGCCTGGCCAGAGTAAATTACTTTTAGAGCTCTGTTTGCTTTAACTATGTAACTGACTACAAAACAAATTTCAAAGTACTATAATATTTCTGTAATTCCCTATTTAGCTTGATTTAATATTAAGTGAAATTCTAGTGTAATCTAAATTATACAGTAGGTATATTAATAGTGGTGACCAATAGAATTATAGTAAAGAAGTTGTGTTCAGAGAGTATACTGACTTTTCAAGGTTAGTACAGAATCTTGTTAGTTGGTTTCATTGTGGAGATTTGTAATTGAAAAAACTATAATTGTCTTAATATTAGGGCACCCTGTTAATTTAAAAATACATAGTTCCAGATACTTCAAAATGGTTGTTTTGCATATTTAAGAAGATAATTTTCATTAAAATGCTAAGGAATGAAGATTTAACTGAAAATCAAAATAAATGATCACAACTTTTATTTTCATTCACAGATAGTTGCAAAACATGCAGGGGAAGGAAGGCTAGGATTTTCTACTCTATCTTGCTGATGGTGATCACAGTTACTAAAAAGTCAACTTAGGCCAGTGACTCACGCCTGTAATCCCAGCACTTTGTGGGACCGAGGCGGGTGGATCAGGTCAGGAATTGGAGACCAGCCTAACTAACATAGAGGAACC